CGCGCGCGCCACACTGCAACATGGGCTCAACAAGCTCGCTCTGGTGTCTCCGCGGCCTCCCTACCAGGCCTCGAGCGCGCATCTCCTTCAATAACTTGGTCAACAAGCGACTTGAGCAATGCGCCTGCAAATTCTCCTTGCTTCCGTGCCCCTCGCCACGGGCCTCGTGGCCCGCACGGCGGCGCCCGTGCGCCCCCCGACGTCGCTCAAGGTGCGCCGCACTGACAACACCCGCCCGCGCCGCGCGCGCCGCCGCCGCGGCGCCCCGAACACCCGAGGCCGCGAACGTGCGTAGGTGAGCTACCTGAGCGAGGTCGAGGACGCGGACAAGAAGAAGAAGTACTGGGAGGAGGACGGCTACAACGAGTACGGCGACAAGAACTACGACAACCTGCCGAGCGACCCGCGCGCGCACACGAACGTCGGCGAGGCCGACGCGAACGGCGTGCCGCTGAACTACGACGGCTTCATCGACGCCGAGGGCTTCGACGGCGGCGACGGCCAGGTCGGCGTCATCGGCGACGGGAAGAACGCCATGGAGGAGTACGACATGAACCAGGCCGTCGAGGTGCGGCGGAAGAACATGGTCGGCGGCTCCGAGAGCAAGTTGAACGCGAAGAACGCGTGGGGCACGTCGACGGGCTACGCCGAGGAGCTCAAGAAGAAGGGCATGGTCGCCTACAACGAGTACGGCGAGGACGTCATGCAGCAGAAGCGCCAGCAGCTCGAGAACTGGCGGAACCAGCAGGAGCTGCGGATCCAGAAGGACGGCCAGATGAAGCAGCTCGCGGACCTCCAGGGCAAGGAGTACCAGGCCATCAACCACGGTTCGTATCTGGCCCAGTTCGACAAGAAGCCCGCGGACATGGACATCATCGCGGGCAACCGCGACACGTTCGTCGCCGACGAGCTCGTCGCGGGCGACGCCATGGGCGTGCTCGCGTGCAAGGCGACGCTCAACGGCCGCGGCGGCACCACCCTCACAATCAAAAACGAGTTCTCGACCTACGACGACTTCGTCGCGGGCTTCGCGGCCGGCGGCTCCGACGCGATCACCGTCGAGCCGACGAGCGGCACGCTCAACCGGCGCTCGGGCGAGCCCCAGGAGTTCGTCATCAAGTTCCAGCCGACGGCCTTCGCGCCCAGCTACGAGGCGAAGCTCGTCATCGAGACGGAGAGCGTCAAGTGGACCTACGACGTCGTCTGCCAGCTCGAGTAGGCGCCGCCCGGGGCCTCGACGCGGCCCCCGAGGGTCCCCTAAGCGACGGCCCCCAGGAGGTCCTCGAAGCGACGCCGCGGCGTCCCGCGGCGGCCGCGAGGTTACGACGCGGGGCAGTCGTGGCAGTCGAGGTAGGCGAGGCAGCTCCGCATGGCGCAGGGGTCGTCGTCGTCGCCGGCGCCGGACGTGAGCCGCGCCGTGTTGAAGCAGGCGCCCTCGGCCGCGCCGTTCTCCGCGAGGAGCGCGCGCCAGTTCGCCGTCATGTTCCCCGCGCCGTCCCTCAGGAACGACGCCTTCGCGCCGCCGAAGAGGAAGAAGTGCGCCGCGCCGTCGACGTAGGCGTAGCCGTCCTCGTGGCCCGCGCAGGCGCACCAGAAGCCCGCGCCGTTCGCATCGAAGCCCGTGAGCGAGAAGCTGCAGAAGCCGCCGGTCGCGGGCAGAAAGGGTCGCGGGTCCGCGTCGAACGCGTCGCGGTTCGACGCGTTCCGGAAGGCGAAGGTGTAGCCCCCGTAGGTGGCGTTCACGGACCCGACCGTCGGCGCGCAGTCCGGCGACGACGGCGCGCCCGCGCGGTCGACGCAGCGCTTGAGGTCGACGAGGTCGATGCCGCCGAGCACGGGACCGGCGTTCGGATCGCCGCAGCACCTCCTCGGGCTGCAGCTCGGCGCTTTGGGGCAGTAGTTGTGCGGGCACGTCTTTTCGTCGGCCGAGGCGAACGGGACGAGGCAGAACAGCACGAACAGCCGCGGAGGAGGGCGCGGAGGGGCAGCCATCGTCTGCGGCAACGTGAGATGTTGAATGGGAACATCAATGAGAGCCCCGCGACGATGAAGGCGCCTGCGAGCACGAGCGCTGGCATCGACTACAGCCGCTGGGACGCGCTCGCCGACGACGACGACGACGACGACGAGCGGCCGGCGCATCCCGCGAAGCGCGCCGCGACGGGCGACCCGCCGCCGCCGCCGCCGCCGGCCCGCGAGCGCATGCGCCTGCTCCCGCGGCCCGACGCGCCGCGGAGCGGCCGGCCGGGTGGCGCCGACCCCGGCGCCCGGCCGCCGAGTACCTTCGCCGTCGGCCCGACGAGCCCCGAGGAGCTCGCGGACATCGACGCGGAGATGGCGCAGCTCCGGCTCATCGCCGCGCGGTCCGCGGCCGAGGCCGTCGCGTCCGAGCGGACACCCTGGCCGGCGGAGGCGCCGCCCGCGCCGCCGCCGACGCCCGCGCCGGCGGCCGCGCCGCCGGCGGCCGCGCCGGCGGCCCACGCGGGCCCGAGCCCGCTGCTCCAGCTCGTCGGCGCGTGCCGGTCCGGCCTCCGGGAGGAGGTCGACCGGAGCCTCATGGACACGCTCGCGGAGGTGGCCGACGCGCGGCGCCGCGAGCAGCGGAAGCGGCCCGCGCAAAGCGACTCTAGTAACCCCTAGGTGTGGTCCTTGTACTCGGGCTTGAGGTCGTAGTGGATCTTGCCGGAGACGCGGACCTGGACCGCGAGCTCGGCGAGGGCCTCCTTGAGGTGGGGCTCGGGCTGGGCGTCGTCGCCGAGCTCGCCGTTGACGTCCTTGAGCGTGAGGTAGGGCACGTCGCGCGGCCGGCCGAAGACCGCGAAGAGCCGCGACCGGAGCGACGCCGCGTCCATCTTCCGCCGCGCCTTGGGCGCCGGCGCCGCGCCGGCCTCCGCCTCCGTCGCCTCGCGGCGGAAGGCGACGACGGGCGCCTTGTCCGCGCGGGGCGCGTCGTCGGCCTCGATGATGCGCGTCGTCCGCGTCGACGAGTAGCTCTCGACCATGCGCGCGCGGCAGACCTTGCGGTAGCACAAGGGTGATTCAACGTCGCTTCAACGTGAGTGTTCCGCGCGCGCGCGTTCCGGAAAAAGCGCCCACGCTTCGAGACCGCTCCGAGAGATGATCGCTCGTCCAAAAATCAGCCGAAACGAGTGGAAAACGACCGAGAAAGGAGCCTTTGAAGTTGGGAATTTCGCTCTCTTTTGCTGCCCTGCGGCAGACCTTGCGGTAGCCCTTGCCCTGCTGGGGCTTCAGCGCGAAGGTGCACTCGGGCCGGCCCACGACGTCGCCCGTCGGCGGCGGGCCCGGGTCGTCGGACGGCTTGGCCTCGCGCGTCACGGACACGCCGCCGACGTCGACCTTGGCGCGCTTCACGGGAGGCGGCGCGACGCGCGCGAAGGCGCGGCACTCGGCGCCCTCGGCGCGCGACAGCTCGTAGGCCTTGGGCATGCCGCTGGGGACCCGGAGGCGGAGACCGCCGGCGCCGTCGTCGTCGACCGCGCCGAGGTCCGCGCCGACCGTGGCGGAGAGCCAGCCGTCGGCGAGCTGCTTCGGCACCTTGACGAGCCAGCTCGAGCCGTCGCCGGGCGTCTTGCCGCCGAAGCCGCTCATCGTGTGGGGCGAGAGCACCTGGGTGCCTGCTCGCACAAAGCAAAGGCGCCGCGCGCGAGCACAAGCGAGGAGGCTCGAGCACTAGATGAGCACTGCGCCGGCGAGGCCGAAGGCGCCGGGATGGTGCCGCGCATACAGCAGCCCGGCGCAGCGCGGCCAACGAGTGATCAACGAGTGCGGGGTGGGAGGCAGCCCGTCGAGTGCTCCGGGAACCGATGGCGTTCCTGGCCGCGCTGAGCGCGGAGAAGGCGAAGCTGAAGAAGACGACGCCGCAAGAACCGACGCGGGCGCCGACGGGCGCGTACCCGGTCATCGGCATGGCGAGCATCATGGCCGAGAAGGCCCACGGCACGACGGCGGCGCCGGTCCAGACGCCGCTGCGCTGGGGCGTCGACGGCGCCGTCGCCGACCGGATCTGCTCGTTCAACCGCCACGGCGCGGAGCGCAAGGGCTGCTGGGCCGAGACCGCGTTCCTCGCCGCGGGCGCGCGCGACGAGACCTTCTACGACAGCGTCACGGGGAAGCCGCTCTTCGTCGCGCCCCGGGGCCGGTCCTGGGACGCGTTCGTGCGCGAGAGCGCGGACCACGGCTGGCCGAGCTTCCGCGA